GTAGTCAAAACAATATTAAAAAATAAAACAAATATATAAAAAAATAATAAAATATGAAAAGTATACTTAAAACATGATTAAACAAAGCACATCCAAATGAATTTGAAAATTAATGAAAAATACATTTTAAGGAATCAATTTGTGCTATGGGTTTCAAAAAATGGAAAAAATAAGTATTAATGACCAAAACAATTTGCAGTCTTTGCCAAAATAATTAAAAATATTAAAAAGTGCATTACAAACAAAGTCCCTTACTTTTTGAGATTGTACATATTTTTTTTTAAAAAAAATAAATACTCGGCTAGTTCTCTAAAACTGGTCGAGACTGGCCCGACCTGTTGCCTCCCTATTTTATGTATGGTCAGAAGACCCCTTCCCCTAGACCACCAAAAACAAAGGTAGTCATTTATACTATTATAGACACCCCGATCCCGATCAAGGAAGCTATGGAAGACCAAAATACCCAGGGCAAGCTAACCTGGAGCTTGAACCACTCACACCCTTCCCCAGCCTGACCTAAACCATAACCCATGAGCCTCGATTGCTCAGTAGAGCTCATAGACCGAAGAACACTCTGAAGGCATATCAAAACTCAAGACTACCAAGATGGAAGCAAGTCAGAAGGCAAAAGTTTCAGTGCCACTTATGCTACTCCTAGTGGTGACACATGCTAACCGACACTCTAGTGACATGACAATATGACAAAGAAAGGAAAAGGCCAAGCACCATTGCTAGTGGTGTCGGCGCCATCAAATCTCTAATGGTCAAAATTGATGACAACCTGGATGTACATACTTGTGTTGCATGTCAACATGGAATGACACGTGTTGGAAAATGACTGACATGTTCGATATTAGTATGGAAGAGCATGCCACCCTCAGATTCGTTGAGAAAACATCACATCAGCCATTGATTGTATGATGACACATTAACAGTCGGCTGGCACCGGCGCAGCATGGAATGGCACCAGAGGCAGTTGAAATGATGACAAATTATGATTGGTCCATCAACTGTACGAAAGAATTTCAGAAGACAACATGTGGCTAGTTTTGGCATAAAGCATCTCTGAATGACACCAAAGCCATTGCTAATGGCATTGTGCTTTTGACACTCCGCCCACAAAAGTTGTACTCAGCAGCCTAAAGTCATGTGATCATAAAGAATTTAATTTTGTTGACCGCATTTAATGGTAATTAATGCTGATTAGGCACTATTGCTAGTGGTACCAAAGCTGGTGCAAATGGCGACGGAATTTGAAGGGGCCATATTGCATAAAAAACGACCAACGATGATCCTATAATTGTTTTGTCTATAAATAGATGACACTTATTCGAACCACAAGTTCGAAAATTAATGATCTAAGTGTGTAAGCTCTGCCAAACTATACCCGAGCCTACTTGACCTCTAGAATCAAACTCAAACCCTCTATCTCAAACTTAGGGATCTTGTCCAACTCAATCTAATTTGAAGGCGGTCCGGATAATCAGACCTTTCAGACCCTCTTCTGCCTATATTCACTTGACCGTTAAAACCCGTAGGACCGGGATTGATCATGCAACAATCTACTATGAACCGGCGCCAACTCCAAGCGTCGAGCCTAGAGGCCCAGCCTGAGGTATCATTTTTATGGGTTATTTTAGTTTCATTAACGACATTTATAAATTTTCCTTCTTAGTCTTAGTTTCATTTATGCATTTATAAGCTTTCACATTAGTTTCATTTAGTGCTTTCCCAAGCTTATCTTATTTTGAAGTTCTTCATTAAATTAACCCTTCTCTTCATTAAATACAAAACTTCCCTCGAACTCCAATATTAAGATGTGTGGGATGCAACTCTGTCGGAAGTCCAAGTGGGATACGGCATTGTGACCCGATTTTCTCTTGGAATACAATTTGATGGGACCCTTTCTCTATCAATTATTTTGACAAGTTTGCACCCGAAACCAAAGCGAAAATTGAGTTCCTTGCCTATATTTTCAAGTATAAAAACTATATATTTTAGAAAAATAATATATTTTGATAGAGCTATATCCTTATTAAAATAAGTGAAATCTCACCACAAAACTCATAGAAACTTGCAATTTTTGTATTGAAAAACCTTCGAATCATCTCGTCCTTGACCATATGGTTGTGAAAAAAAATATAGAAGATTTCAAGTCCTAAAAACAATGTATAATATAACACATTATCCAAACCATCCATTTCACTCCAAAAGTAAAGTGTTCACGTATTTGTAAGATTTGTACCATTCGTAGTTGGTACTTAAAATTTTTTTAGAGCCATCATGGATATTTCCGATACCCAAAGTGCATTATGGACAAGGAGTACAGGTGAGGTTTTACGTTGTTTTCATAGAACTTTGCTCTAATAGAATTTGCATCCTTCAAAAAAAATAGTTTATATACAAAGTTGCCATTATATACTATTAAAGTAATATATCGGGTTGAGTCGTACAGGGTACTGCTTGAGGTTAACCCAACATGAGCTGGATTGAGTCTATGTCAAATGGACTTGATCTAACTCAGGGGATTCACTATCTAGGTCCATATCCAGACCTAGGGACATGTTGACCACATAGGTCTGCAGGTCAATCTGACCCAGTTGCCACCCCTACTCACGGGATTGAATATCATTGATTTATTAATCGCCATATGGACTATAATGATATATGAACCGGACAGGAAGGGGTGGTTGGGACTGAAAATTGATGGAATACGTTTTAGGTTTGGTGCGGTTTGACACAGTGGACTAGATGATCAGCTGAACTAGTGTTAGACTGGTAGACTGCTTGAGTCCATCAATCTAGGTCAAACCCACTTGTTTAATGCCGTTACTATTTTTTTAGGGAAAAATATATATACCTCTACAATACTTTTTAAGAATTATTTTCTCAATACTTTGAAACCACACAACTAATTCAATTACTATTTATTTTTTTTCAGACCATGGAAGAAAATAGCTTTGTTTTTTTTATGAAAATAACCCCAATGTATAAACCCAAAATACTCTCTTTAGAAATTGGAGACAGTCTCTCTCTTTCTAAAATTTGAGATAATTTATCTATCTGAACTTTAAATTATGCGATGGTTTATCTCTGTAAAAACTTTGAATTAGTTTCCATCTTTAATTTTTTTGAGATAATATCTATCTCTAAAAACTAAAAATTTGAGATAATTTGTCTATTTAAAAGTCTTGAGATAGTTTATCTGTCTAAAATTTTAAATTTCAGATTTTTAAAGGGAGAATTGTAGGTAGTTGTGTGGTTTAAAAGTATTGAGGGACAATGCATATTTTACATAACTTTCTATTGAAAATACTAATTTTTGGGGATTATATATTATGAGACCATTTAGTTTTGATACAAAAAGGTCACAATTATTTTTAACCATTACATACAACATCTAACAATCGGAATGTGTCATAATATTCGATAAATTTTATTTTGGACTTTGAGTCAAATCAATAACACATCCTCATTTATCTGATTTTACATCCAATGGTCAATAATGACGGTGACTTCCTTGTATCAATAGTAAATGATATCATTATATATTGAAAGAATGTTTGGTGAGTTGGCCGACTCACACTGTTATTGTGTGATCTCCCAACAAAATATGTCCCAAAGGGAGAAGTGTTAGGTGAGTTGGTTGACTCACACCATTATTGTGCGGTCTCCCCACAAAATATATCTCAAAGATGTGTTTTTGATTCAAAATTCTAGAGTCAAATAATCTCAACAGTGAGAATGATCTAAATTTTGAATTTGTTTTCAAAAAATATAAATGCTATTTTTTTGAATTCCTTTCTTCACCCTCCATTTTAATTTTTAGTGAATGTAATATTTGTTAACATCAATCTTAGAGATAAATGTTAGTCAGACAAGGGACAACACTGTAATAGTTGAGTCCACTGACTCACCAAAACCATGTCAATGTATATTTCACAATTTTTGGCTTGTTTAATTTCATCAACTTTAAATAAGGGAAAAGTTTATATAGAGAGGTTCTAAACAATAAATTTAGAGTCTACCTCAAAATTTTCACCAGGAGAGGTTGTTTTGATGCCCAAATATCTTCAAATTGATCATTTCAACATCGAGATGCATGGACATGAGAAAAAACATGGATTTCAAGTTCTAAAAATAGTGTATTTTGTAACGTATTTTTTTACCGTCAATTTTAAAGTTTTCATAGATTTATCGATTTACACTATTTATGAAGCTTTAAACTTTATAAATAAAGATAAAATTAGGGAAAATTAAAAAAAAAAAACCAAGACTACACTATCTATACAACTTACCCCTAACTTAACATTTTCTCTCACTTTTTTCCTACAAGAAGCTTGCAAATAACCCCCCAACCCAAAAAAAATAAAAAAAAGAGGCTAAACTTGAAATCCAGCGCTCTAGTAGTAGTAAAGGGCGCTCCAGCAGTAGTGATCCGGCAGTTGCAAAGGGCGCTCCGATAGTTATAAAAGGCGCTCCTTAGTAGCACTTCGGTGGTTGCAAAGGGTACTCCGGTAGTAGAACTTGTGAGACACATCGCTCCGGCAGTAGCAAAGGGTGCTCTGGCAGTAGCGCTCCTGCAGTAGAACTTGTGAGACAGATCGCTCCGACAGTAGCAAAGGGCACTCCGGCGGTAGCGCTCTGATAGTGGCAAACGGAGCTCTGGCAGTAGAACTTGTGAGACGTCAAATGTCGTCAAATTGAATTTTTTGTATGGGAAGGGTATTTCTATTTTACGTCAAATTGATTTTTTTGTATGGGAAAGGTATTTCCATTTTTTAAAAAAAACTTTTTACTTTGAGGGGTTATTGCATGAAAAGTTTATTGTGCGGAAAAAAATAAGAGAAAAGGTCGTGATGAGGGTAAGTTGGATAAATATTGTATTTAGGTTTTTTTTTTTATAATTTTTCGTATATTTTAAAGCTATAACAAATATTTTTTTATAATTTATTGTATATTTTAAAGTTATAAGCCTATAACAAATTTTTAGCCAAAATTCGAAGGTAGGTTCTAATTTGAAAGTTTCGAGGCTAGGCTCTGTACAAACCGCACCCAATTATTTTCTCAATCTAAGAGAAAATAAGCCCCGTTACGAAACGAAATTAGAGAGAGAGTGAAGGGAATTTATGCTCTCGTTCTTGTCTCTTCGGGAACTCCTCCGTTTCTACGATTTTTTCTGTAGATTTGTGACAGCCGATCAGGCAATCAATCCTCCCTTGTTTGAAACTCAAGTAAGCATAAATTGAACCATTTGCTTGTTTGATTTTTTTTTGGAAAAGAAGGGAAAAATTCGGATTTTTTTTTGTTGGGTTTTGCTAGAAATCTTGCAGTGAGCCTTGAATCTCCAGATTGCTGATTATTCGAATATCGATCAAATGTCCATTAATTGGGGTGTTCATTTTCACTTTTTTTCGCGTTAAAATGCTATCGTTTGTAGGTTAATGTGATTTCTTAGATCCGTGATTTCTCGATTTGATTTTTTATTTATTTTTTGTTTACCGCAGTTGTTCCTTCAACTTCAATATTATTTTCTGTATTTTTGTTTCTCTCTTACCCCATTTGTAGGACATCAGTCTTCAACTGTTTGTTTGAAGTTTCTGTGTCTTCCTACTATTTCTTAACTTCTATGGATTCTTGGGTTCAATCCATATTTTGATGATGGCCAAAATTTTAGCTAGTAATAATTGCCAAAGGATCTCCAATCTCTGCACCTGTTTCTCTCCAAAGTTCACTCCTTTTCCCATGTAAAACAGGAAGTTCAAGCCATATTTTTCATTTTTCTCTGTATTTCCCCAATTTTTCATTTAACCATGTTAAATATTTTTTATATTCATCAGACTGGTCCGACCAGTGGACTGGTCTGGTTTGGTCGGTCCAACTGGACTGGTCCTTCACCAGTTTGGTCACCGGTGCATTTCTGACAACATTCATCACAGTATACTTCCCTTGCTATGTATTCTAAGTCCTAAACCAGATCCTTGTCATAAATCCTAGATCCTATCCCAGATTCTGCCTCCAGATTCCTCTCTTTTTGCCCCAACCTCGGAGACGAAATACTTGTGCTCCTGATTCTTGGTTTCTTTCACCAATCCACTTTGCCATTTCTCTGCTCAGAAGCAAATAAGGTATTGAAATCTGCACCCTGTTTTAACTTTTATCACTGTTCTCGAATTTTTAACTGGTTCTCTAATTTGTTCTGAAATCCTTTGCAATCAAGGAAAATTTGGTTTGGGGAGTCTGCCCTGGTTTTGCCATAGATCTAATTCTGGCTTTGTCAAGGAGCAGTTCATTATATCCATAGTCTACATTGATTATGAACTCTAGATTTTCAATGCTTGTATAGATCAGAGTCAAACTTTCACTTGAAATCAGCAAAGCCATGATACTGGCCCCACAGAACCTAAGGATGCGGGTGCTCCATTAGAGCCCTAATTGCCTTCATTGTACTTCAAATGACTCATTGGCTAGTACAGAACTACTAAAATTCAACCTCATGACCAAAATCCAAAGGCACCCAAAGTCGCAGGGCTACTTCCACCAGTCCATTTGGCCGCCTGGGCTATCACTATCTAAATTGTCTTCTTCTATGAGGAAGATGCTTTATTTGTTCTAAGAAGTTGTAGGGCAGGAGGACATGGAGGTCTCTACGAACCCTTTCTCCACCACTCATCCATTCAAAATTCTACTGCTTCAAGGTGGCCTCTACCCCCATGGAAATGGCTGTATGCCATTGAAAGACATGAAATTTTTTTTAACTGGCTATACACCCTCCAATGGCTGTAAGAGTCCCCAATAGCAGAAGAAAACTTGAACTAGAAACACATGTTTTGATCCTGTATTGAGTATGAGACATGGCCCATCTGTTTGGTTTTAACACAGGGGATATTACTATTAAAAGATCTAAGTCTGACACACCAAAATTTGACGACAGGACTGTCTTTCTACATGAAGCATTAACCACCTCTATGCTTTCCTATGCACTTGTTGTAAGGACATATCCGATGAGTGAACAATATCTTGAATCTGTCTACTATATCTTCAATCCTCCTCATGCAGGGCCCATTTCTATTCCATGTTATTATTATATTAACTGGGTTCCCTTCTGCTAAGAAATGTCCTAAGATGGCTTTAACAACATTAATGAGCCTTGCAATGTAATCCCCCTGTTTGTCGTGTAGAGTTTATTATCCTTAAGAATCCAACAGTTTTTTTTTTCTTTTAATTCATTTACATTGATAGGAGTATTTTTATTTTATTTTCAAAGTAGCCGCATTCAAAATTAAGTTCTGGACACCTTTGGTGGAACAATGGACAGAATGTGGGAACATATGTTGTGAGGAAGTTAGGAGCTATGCCCATATTACTGGACTGTCATGCCAGTTGGAATCCACAAATCAATTACATCAAAACCATAAAAGAGCAACAATGGTGGGTTGAGTTGTTGACAAATTGGCCATAGCGCTGTTTCCATGTCCTTGTTTTTGTATCGCTAATGACATTGCTTTATTATCTCAGGCTTGCTTTGCTTAGGTAACACATGCTAACGCTTATCAAGATTGTGTAGCCGTTGAGAAAAACTAAAGAAACAAAGAACGTTAATCGTACAGTCTGGAACTCTGGATGGGAATGCCATTTGTGTTTTACGCCATTCATCTTGGGACATGACTTTGTTTAGGATCTTCGCACAATGGTAATCTGGGCCTGCCAACTTTACTCATTACTCCTTCCTACCTGCTATATCTGCCAACTCCATACTTTACAACCAGCAAAACATTTTTACCCGCTGTCTATCATCCATGTAATTATTACCAGTATGATGTCTATTCCTTTATCCGGTCTCAGTCTAGTTAGAACTAAAATTTATCCTGGTGATGGGAGTTGCTCTATGAAATGTTTAGATCATGAGTGTAGATTTTGTATCAGGTGGGAAAGGCTTTTGCTGTAATTAACTTATACTGGATTCTGAATTAATTGGATAGTCGTATTGTCTATCTTTCTTCATGTTTATGTTTGTGTGTGTGTGCGCATGTGTGTATATAAGTTGCTTTGTACTGTACAAAAAATAAAACTTACGCTGTATCACTTGTTAACTGTATTCAAGTCACAATATGTCAGACATGAAAGCAGATGATGCTAGAAAGATGGAGAACACCGTTGAAGAGCATATGGATGAAAATTTCCCTGATGACGATGTAAACACTATAGATAAAAATGGAAAAGGAAAAGAGGAAGAGTGCACTAACATGCCATCTTCCCAAGCAGAGGTGATCTTCAGTCTCTACACATATTTTTATTGAGAAAATTATGTCTCTATATCTTAGGAATTGTGATATGTGCGTTATCATGCATACGTTCAAGATTATGTGTCTTATAGAGTAGAAATAGTTAAGGAATTAGGATTTCAGTAGAAACCAAAATTTCCAAAGTCTCTGTCTTCTATGAATCTAGATACCTTTAGAAATTAAAACTATTTCAAGATACGTCTAGAAATTAAAACTATTTCAATGGATATCAATGTTCTCCAAACCTATGGGAAATCGTTTTTCTACTTTCTAGGTGAATCTTTCTAACACTTATCTCTCTCTCACATACATAGACCGATGAATTGCACGCGTCAAGAACTGGTGTCCTGTGGAAATCCACTTCAGCATTAAAGTGATCACAGTGAGAGATCATGTCTTACCTAAGAAATTACAATAAAGAAGCTATGTGTTTAGCTGTTTATTGTTGGGACTCTCGTAGATGTCTACATGATGTTCTTAATTTCATACTTTGATAGTACTTAAAAGCCTCTACCTTATGCAGGAGGATGTGGTTAAGAAAAAGTATGGAGGTATCATACCAAAAAAGCCTCCTCTCATTTCGAAGGTGTTTGCTTACTGTTTTTCTTCTGCGTAGTTATGTAATGCTATTTCACGGCCCACTATTTGGTTCGGATATATGTGCCTTAAACATTGTTTCTTTTCTTTAGGACCATGAACGTGCTTTCTTTGATTCTGCTGATTGGGCACTTGGAAAGGTAGTAATCTTCAAATATCGATAGTTTAGGCCCCTGTTAGTGAAACAGTTGCCTAGAAGCAGTGGATTAATGTATCTCATTACTGTTTTTGTTGCCTTTCAATACATGACAGCAAGGTGCGCCTGCAGGTCAGAAGCCAAAAGGTCCACTGGAGGCCCTTCGGCCTAAACTTCAGGTAGGGATATCGAAACCAGTTTCTTTACTTGGCTTGATGTTGCATCTTTTCTCTTTTGAATTTCAAATTTAAAGCACGTGCTGTATTGACATGATCGAACAGGAATGATAACTTTTGTTCTCAATAGTTGGAAAATCTGGAAACTATGTATGGTAATTTGTCTGGTTCTTTTTTTATTTTTCTGGAAACTATGTATGGTAATTCGTCTGGTTCTTTTTTTATTTTTTTTTGAGGTTGTAGTTTGCTAATTATTAGTTATGGAGGCATGCTTTGTCTTGTTCTACTTAACTGTGGTGTAAATATGTGTGTGAGCTTTGAGGACCAGATCTTACTTTCTAGTCAGGCCCATTTAGACTCTAAACCACTTTTTATCCTTTCTTTATGTTTATCTATATGTAGCTAATATGAAGATTGCTAACACATGTATATAGTAATTTATTAATGTCTAATTTTCAACAACTATATAGTAATCAGGCAAACATATTTTGATGACTGATATACTCATTTGTTGTGTGTGTGTGTGTGTCTAACTATATTCAAGTCTCAATTTAGAAATAGACAATAGCATGTATTGTGGACATCATTATTAAAAGGCATACTATTTGCGAATATCAAAAGAAGTATGGTCATTGAACCAATTCCAGTGTGCTGCAAACTTGCAAAACAATTATCTTTCTTCAACCACTATAGGATTGTTGTTATGTTGAGTTCAAATTTGATGACTTAAGACTCGCAAATGTTCATGGATGTGAGGAAATGTGCTTGGTCAAGATGGTAGAGGCTAGGTTTTCATAGCCCAACGTCTCAAGTTCCATTCCTATGTAACCTTGTCAAACAAAAAAACATCCGTGGATGTGACTGGCAGTGGGTAGGTCTTCAGAATTTTATTGAAATCTTGTTTGAGGAGTAGCCATTGTATTTCTTCTAAGTGACTGGAAACTTAAATTTTCTGTTCACTAAAAACATAAGTACTTGGATTTGGATTTGGCAAAGAAAGGGGGGAAAGGTGATGGATGCTTGAACTCGTTTAAAATGAACCATCTTAACACCATTTCGAATGACTTTATGGGGATAAGACCTTATTCTTTTGAGTTTTGGGCTGCTTCATTACAAAAGAGAACTTTGAAATATTTAAAAGACATCTAAATTGACATTACTCATTGACTTTTCATAGAATAACTCGAGCATTTACTGGATTGAATCGCCCAAGTTATTTTAGAAAGTCAGACCAAATGAAGGCTGAGAGAAGGACCCAACAGTAGGATAATGGTGCTGGTTGTTGGAATTAGAAATAACGGGTGATGTCTGAATGTTGCAGTTTTGCAGTGGAAACACTCACTTATTCATTGATACTCACAAGATACAATTGGTTTTGAGCTGAAATTTTGTGTACATAAAGTACACGTGATATAACTTAAAGTGTTCTAAGTTTCACTGAAATCCGATGTAACGTTGTCAAGAATCAGCTCACCTAAGTTCCCATTTTTCTGTTACCTGCAAAACAGTAGCACAAACAATAGAGTTTTATAGTTCAGCACTGGGTGCTGTTAGACACACTGGAATCCTCCTAGAGTCTCAAGCCCACAGAGGGGGGTTCAAGGAAGAGCCTATCTGGACTTAAGGTCAAATACTCCCTGTCTATCTGGTGGTTAACCGAGTATGGCGAACGAGAATTCCTGGAGCAGGCCTCAGGATATACCTTAGCCTGAGTCCTTCAGCTTGTAAAGATGGTTCACCACACCACTATATAACTTCTAGGAGGTCCCTTGTCCTTCCTTGTTAGTCTTTAATGCAAGATACACATCGTCCTCCTGGCTCCTCTTAAGAGACTTGTGGCCTTCCCTTGTTTCATGCGAGTTATAGTGGCCAACATAACTTGCTTTTTGTTATGCTAACAATCATGGACTCTATTTCCCAATGGGATAACTAGTTCTGGTGCAACCCCTGTTGCAAAGATAACTATGATCATGTTCCATTTGAGTTTGCATAGCCAATAGTCATATTTGCTGCATCATCATCATTATTATCATCGTCAGAGCCTCTTTCCAACTAATTAGGGTTAGTTACACGAATCTCGATCAACCATTTTGCTCTATTAAGGGCCATACCCATAGTGAGGCCATAAGTCCCTCTATATTTTCACACTACTTTCAACCATGTCCTTTTGGGTCTGCCCCTTGTCTTTTTTGAACCTTCCACTTGAATTAATTCGCTCCTTCTAACAGGTGTTGTGCTGGGTCGTCTGCTTCATACATGGGCACCATCTAAGTCTGCATCAATTGCATTATCATACTCATGAATATAGTGTCGATCAAGATCTGGGTTGCCCCTGGACTTGACGAAAATTCTGCATGAAAAGTTATTACATTAACTATCTGTTAATGGGTTCAACATGACCTGTCTTGGTGTATAATTTTGGTTAGAATTCAGCATTTTAAAGCATGGACTTGGGTTGAGACTTACTGGGGTTTCAAGCCTGAGTAACGGGTGTTAACTCAGCAGGTTCAAGTGAGAGTCAGCTAGAGTCTTACAATACTAACAAAGATAAAACTTGTGAATTGATGAGACTTGGCCGGCTCCTGGGGTTTTCTTTTGGAGTTGGCAGGGCTGCTGGGTACGAGTCAGACTCACTGAGTTCAAACAGTTGTTAGAATGTTCCTCATTATATTAAGCTCTATGTTCTTTTCCATTCATAGTTGAGAATAAGTTAAGAATTTTCTGCCAAGAAATTCCAAAAGCTTGGTTTGTATAGCGTGCCAATTCCCTGGTCTTCCTCTTATTGATCACTGCATATGGTTGTAGTGCATTTCTTTTTGGTTTTTCTATCATTGGGAACTGCAGCATTATTAACTCTCTCTCTCTCTCTCTCTCTCTCTCTCTCTCTCTCTACAGCCCACCCCTCACCAGCAAGTTCGTTCCCGGCGATCATCTTATGCCCGTGCTGATGGTGAAGGTAATTTTTCTGTCCATTTTTGTCAAATATAAAGATTTCCACCCTTGTTAGGCTTTGTTTCATGTGACAGTATGTCATCATATGTTTGTTCAAAAATACAGTATGCCATCATTTTTCTTTTGCTTTTCCTCTTCTGATGAAATTGAGTTTATCACTTGTTTTTTATTTTTGCAGGAGGTACTTCTGAGGATCCAAGCTGCAATGAGTAATGAGTGAGAGATTTTCATGAAATCGGCAAGCATTTTCATGTCTCCTATTGTTTCCATCCTTCCACATAAATGAGGCCAATAATTGTTCCTTTGTATTTCATACTGGATGAGTTTTTTCTCTTCCATTCCTAGTGATATATTATGATGCGATGGGGGAATTCAGTGTTCCAGTTTTATGTATCTCTCTGTAACTACTTTTTAGGAGCGTGACAAGGCCATCACAAATCAATATTTTACTTTTTTAAATTGTTAACATAATAATGACAAGGCCATATGAAAAAGGACATGGTTAACATGCAGCCAAGCCCGCATGTGTACAAATACAAGGCAATAAATATGTTTTTCAAATATAATTTGATCTTAATTTTTAGAGAATATATAATCTTTAACATGGAGATCATGTATATGAAAAAATAAATAAATTTTGAAAACTAGAAGTAATAATTATATTAACAAAACATTTGGACCATTGGTTACAATTTTTTTTAGATGGATCACCTATTTGCTTCCATCTTTAAGATGGATGATTTATACCTCTGGACAACAGCCCACCTGAAACAATTGTTCTATAAAAAATTTGGGACAAAAAAAAAGTCCCTCTAGCTCTAATGCACAAATCCAATTGTATCATGCCCAGAATCATGGGTTTTAGAAAATACTCATTGGGTTTACAAAATGTTTTTACAGTGTATTTTTTAATTTTTATTTTTGAGATTGTTCATCAAAATGGAAAGAGTGTATATTTAAAGAAAGGACGTGGTTTTCATGCAGCCAGCCCGCATATTGTAGAAATGCGGGTTTGGCAATAAATATATTTTTAAATATAATTTGATTATAATTTTTAGAGAATATATAGTCTTTAACATGGAGATCATGGATATAAAAAACAAAAAAATTGAAAACTGAAAATAATAATTATATAAAAAAAAAACATTTGGACTGTTAGTCACAATGGTTTTTAGATGGACCATTTATTTTGCATCCATCTCTAAGATGGATGTTTTACACCTTTGGATAGCATTTTGTAGAAATGCCGCCTGTATGAAATAATCTTTCTTAAAGAAAATGGGGTCAAACAAATGTCTTTAACATGACTGCGGAGGTAAAATTGGTGGATGAAATCACTTCCATGGTAGTAATTGTTTGACCTTAATTTTTTTAACATATTTAGAATTGGTGTGGTTTGTATAGAGCCGAGGCTCTAAACAATCAAAGTGAAGCACACATTCAAATAGTGACTAGAAATGTGGTTTCAATACTGAAAATCCTTGTGATAGTCTTAAAATATTTTTTTATCTTTAATTATAAATTTAAATTTCAAAAGCAGTGTAGATTCAGCAGGGAACTCGAAAATCTTAAAAATTGATGGTCCAAAAATGTATTACAAGATGCACTATTCCCAAAACTTGAAATCCATTTTTTTCTCATGTTGATACATCTTGTTGAGATAATCAATTTGAGGATATCTGGGCATCAAAACAACCCCTTCTAGTGAATTTTTTAAGGTGGGCTTTAATTTGATTGTTTAGAACCTCGGTTCTATATAAACTTTATACATTTAGAATTCGTTATGTTAAATAACTTCAAAAAAAAAAACAAAATTGGAAAATGTACCGACATAAAAATTATGTATTTTTAGCCCAATAACCATAGGTGGTTCATTCGATGGAATGGTTTGATCTGGGCCATAGATGAGTCTCTTTTCTTATCCCATTTTTTGTAAATGACCTTATAAACACTAGATGAACAATTCTAAAAAGTAGAAAATTTGACTTTTTTTAAATGGAGTCGTGATAGCAATTCTAACATCACAGTATTTCATTTTGTTTTTCTGGCGAGATAGTCTTATCCTGTTTTGCTAGGGGCAAAAGTAAATTCTTGTATATTTTAGGTTGGGAGATGTATTTTTCAATTTTTTTTTTTTTTTCACCATAATGAATTTTTATATCTTTAAAAATTGGGAAAGTATGGAAAGAGACCATTTACCTTTGATACAGGTGGTCACATTAATCTTGACCAATAGATGTGAAATTGGGTGATTGTAATTATTTTATCGATCAAGCTCAAACTTCAAAAGAAAATTTTCTCGAACTTTGTGAGATATCCAAACCATCAAATTTCACATCAAGTGGTAGTAAGGAATTATAACCACTTTGTATAAAAAATAAATAGTCTCATACAATCCCTTAAAAATTACACTCAAATAAGTAATAAGTACTTGTTTTTTTTTTTTCGTACGTGACTCACCTTTCATATACATAAGGGCATGTGACTCGGAGCCAAGAAGTTGAAAAATGAAAGTTGTTTAATGTAGATTTGCTGGACTACGTTTTTTAAAGAAAAAAATTGAAATAAAATATTTAGCCATTTTTAAAACTAAATTAGAAAATTATAACAATAAACCATACAAGTATTGTTGATATAAAGATAAATATTTCCAAAGGCACGGAAAACCGCAAGACCATAAAAATTAATGTCACGCCTAAACCTCGTACCAAACCTCTAACTCGCTGCTTTGTCGATTTTTTAGAAACTAAAACCTCATTCACTCAGATTGAAAAGAAAGCATCTAAAATTAAATATGGTTTTGATTCTACATCAGAGCTGACCTCGAGAGGTAGAAGAGCAAGTGAAAAGGTATTTGTGGGCAATAGAAGATTGGTTTTGGGGAGTTTGAGATGGATATTGGGTAATGGTACTTCAATTTATTTTTGGCGGTTAGGGGCTGAGGCTTTAAAATATGAGTTCCTACAATTATTTGAGTTGTCAAAATGCTGGTTGAAATTCGTGGGGAGAATATAGAATGGAAAGTCCGTTCTCAATTCCGTGCTCTCTCTCTAGCTTAAGCCGTTGAATATGTCTCAGGTATGTCACATGATTCTACTTTTGATATCATTTTTCTTTGTTTAGAGTTTGGAAGGAAGGAAGGGAAGGGAAGGAGTGTGGGGTTGGGTTCCTTAAAGAGAGGGGGGTTTAGAGTTTGGAAGCCTAGATAGGAGGAAGGGAGGGTGAATATTTTTAGTGAGAGGGAGTAAGACAGAGAGAGTTTTTGGTGCAAGTTTGATAGTGGCATTGTTCTTAATCTTCATTTTACTTCATTGTTTATCATTGATCTCCACGTTATTAATTTTCCTCGTTCTTTATTAATGTTCATTTTTCTTTGTTACTTTCAATTTATATCTCAGAACTATGATTTTTCTTTTCCATAATATCAGAAATTATGCTCTGATTTTTGTGAATGAAATGTATGGAATGGATTTTATCAGAAATTATTTTCTGACTTTTGTGATTATTACTTTTTTAGTTGATTCTTGTGAATGAAATGTATGGCTTGCCGTATAAGTGTATAATATTTTCAATAGTGAGCTCTGATGCCCATCACACGCTTGTGAATAGAGCCAAGTGATCATCCGGTGTTTCATTGGTACCCTACCCACAAGGTGGATTTACAATTTTAATAGGACGAAGATAAATTTTAACGATTTCATGATCATTTCGCTCGAGTTGTTGGAAACCCATAAATCCGATGGTGATAAATTTTAGTAAATACGAACTTTGCCCATTCCTTGGACTGTAGTAATAACTAAATAGAACTATGAAAACATACATACTGTGAAAATATTTACGAGACTTGAAATTAGTTAAAACACGTAGATCTTGCAAAATGAATATGAGGATTGATTTCCGTTGAAATTCCAAAGGATTGTATGTTTCATCAATTCTTGCATAATGATTTTCTATTTTTTCTGTTTTTTTATTGGTAGAAATTTCATGATTAATTGCTATGTAATGCCATTTTGCTTTCATTGTTGGAAAATATTGGGAAAATAGTTATAAGACTTTCAAAACGCATACGAGGATCTTGCAAAATAAAATTGTGTTAAGTGGTTTCCAGGTAATTGAACAGGTGAAATTGCTAGAAGCAAATTTCCCCGGTTTTCACAGGCAGGTTACCAAACAAGGTTCTCAGCTTTTAGCGACCAGTTTTCTATTTTTACCCTTTTCTCAGGCTCCCAGTTTCTCAGATATCCTCCAAGAAAATGGTTTTCTCAATTACCAAACGGGCGAACATGGTTTTCTCAATTATCAAACGGGCCCTAAAGCATTTATAGATGAAAGTTGGAAGCCTGAAATATAGGTAGTCCTTTACTTGAAGGGTACACAATCTCATGGAATATACCGCTGTGAACTAACCTCTTCGAACATCAAAAGATGGGAACCCTATGGCTGAAACTCTATGTGTGTGCTATATTGACGCGTGCCACTGAATCTCTAAAAATATTGAAAACTGCAAATTATTTAATGTGGTCCTGCTAGAGTATATTGTAGGCTTACTTTTTTAAGGAAAAAGTCTTTACAAAATATCTATAGAAAATTTTTTTAACTGGATTGGGAAATTATAAAGATAATATCATAAGTACTTTGTTATCATAAAGAGAAATTTTGCAAAAAGTATATGAACATGCATCATCATCATCAAAATTATTATCATAGCCTTTTGCTCAACTATTTGGGGTCAGTTACACGAATCCCATTTGCCATTTTGCTCTGTCAAGCGCCATCCCCTCAGTGAGATAAATTCCCATGTCTTTTTTCGTTACGTCCAGCCATGTCTTTTTGGATCTACCCCTTGGCCTTTTTGAGCCTTCCACTTGAACCAACTCGCACCCCCCAATAGGTGTTGTACTGGATCTGCGTTGCACCTGGCTAGCCCCCCTAAGTCTATTTTTGCTCATCTTATCGCCTATTCGAGCCACACCTACGTTCTCTCAATTGTATTCATTTCAAGTTCTATCACTTCTTTGTTTTGCCACTCATCCATCTCAACATCCTCATCTCAGCTACATTCATACTATGGGTATCTTGTTTCTTGACCATCCAACATTCTGCTCGATAAAGTAAAAATGGTCTTACAACTGTCCTATATAACTTCCCCTTCAGCTTCATTGTTTTACGACGATCACATAAAACTCGAGTTGCACATTTCCACTTCGCCTGCTCAACTCTAATTCTATGTGTGTCTTCCTCAATCTCTCCATTTTCTTGGATTATTGACCTAAGATATCAAAAGTGTGCTCTTTTTGGTATTTCTTGGCTGCCAATTCTTAACTACTTCCTTGTTTCTACTGCTATTATTACTAAATTTGTATTTGATATACTTTGTCTTAGTTTGGCTAATATGAAAAATCTTTAGATTCTGGAGCATCTCTCCAAAGTTCTTTGTTTTGACATTGCTTTGGGTCTCATCGATCAAAACTATGTTGTCCGCGAACAACATACACCACAGTACCTCATCTTGTAGGTGTCTAGTTAAGTCGTCAATAACTAAGACAAAAAGGTATGAGCTGAACACTGACCTCTGATATAGACCTATTATCACTGAAAACTCACTCATCTTTCCACTAGCTGTTCGCAAACTAGTTAGTATTCCCTCGTACATATCTCTCACCGAGTCTATATAATATCTAGAGACTCATTTCTTTTCCAACACCCACCAAATTAAATCTTGAGATATTTTTTCTGTAGATCAATAAAGACCATGTGAAGGTCTTTTTCTTTCGCCCTAAATTCTTAATCATTTGCCTAAGTAGGAAAATATTATCGATTATTGACCTCCTTGACATAAAACCAAATTGGTTTTCTAATACACTCGTTTCATGCCTTAGTCGTTGCTCAATCACTCTCTCCCATAGCTTCATAGTGTGACTTATAAGTTAGATCTCTCGATAGTTCACACAATTTTGTATGTCTCTTTTGTTCTTGTAAATACATAGCGCAATATTTTTCCTCCATTTACTTGACATTTTCTTTGTTCTCAACACTTTGTTGAACTGTTAGGTGTTGAGAAAAAAGACGCTCTTATACCCATGTGTGTAGGACGCCAAAGGATCACCATTACGTTTGACATAAATCTTTAGAAAAGTTATCTCATGGGTGTGGGACTTGACTTTTCTAGAGATCTTTGTCAAATTTAATGGTAATCCTTTGGGGTCCTACACACATGGGTATGGGAGGGTCTCATAGGATCATTACTCTTTGGATAAAATGGATTAATTTTCCTAAATTAGTTACTTTTTATAGGAATCCTAAAATCTTTGAGAAACCCATGTAACATCCTCGCACTTTGAGAAAGTAATATATTAGTATTATAATAACGTAGCACTATTATACTTACAATTACATAACTATAAATATCAATATAATTAAATTTAATATTTTTAAATTCTATAATATTTTTGATAGTTATTATTCATTGCCAATCTCGTTTATCACAATATTTCATAATCAATAACTTATAACATCATTAGTTTTAGTTAATCCCGCTACAGTCGGTCATGCTGGTTCCAAGCTGGGAGAAAGGTAGAAGATTGTGTTAAGTTAGCAGCTAGCGTAAAACTTTTGCCACATCAATTTCATGAATCCTGATGTAATGAGCTAACCCCAAAAAGTTAGGCTAAGGCTCAGATGGTGATGATGATAAACATTATTAATTTTAATTTTATTAATTATAATTATAATTATTATATGTTACTATTAATTACTTATGAAATTTTACTTAATGAAAATTTAGTGAATATTTATTAAATCAATTGCAATTATTTATAAAAAAATTATATAGTTTTAATTTTAGAGCATGAAATTCTTAAAAGCATTATGATTATAAAATCATTGGAATCATAATTAAATATTGTGTGTTGTACTCATGTAAGTAATTAAATAATTATTTATTAATACTCACAAAATTATGACTATTATGACTTCATAATCAAAATAGTATTATTATAAATATTATTATTACCATTATTATGATTATTTATACATACTTATAATAGCAATATGAAGATTTATCTTACAATTACTAAATATAATCATAATTGAATTAATCACAATTTAAAGAATATGTTTTTTATATTATTGAATTTCTATATAAATGTTTATGCACTATGACAAATCACATTAACAATTCACTCACTATGCAAAATATATATATCTAATAGCACAAAGATATTTTCTAGCAAATCTCTTATACGCTGGTCCTTCACCCTATATTGTATATTTTTGGGGTGGGGAGAGTTTGTATACGGTATCATACATTGCTGGAAATAATTGTTTTGGTATTAGAAGGTGAGTCTATGCTTATATTTAGTTTTCCCTCATTTGGATTATGATATATATATATATATATATTGGAGGAGGAGACCCCCGAAAC